GAAGCTAGCTGCTGCTGGCTGAACTCTGCAGCGCCTCGCTCCTCTCGACTGCGCTTTCATGTTAAGCCGTCTGGGTTTCAGCATGGTCTCAATTAACAGCGGCTCCAAACACTACGCTTGTAGTAGCTTTCCATCCTTGCTCGCTCACTCGCTCTCTGGAGCTTTGAATCCCGATTCTGGCAAAGTATAAACAAATCCTTCACCGCACCAGGCGCCTGCCTTCCTTGAAGGAGTTCCGTGCTGGAGCCTTCGGCAATGAGAGTAATGTGCAGGTCTGAACAATTCTGCCAGCACGAGGGTGGATTCGAATCAGGACAGTCACACAGGACCCCGTGCTCAGAAGGGCCACACACCTGGTTTAATGCTGTCATGGCCATCTTGAAATGCTCCTGTTTCTTAAGAACATCATGTTCATTTTCATAAATTATTAACAATCTGTTGTTTAACAACAGGTTTTTTCCACCATGGGCACCACATTTGCATTTTACACTGGGACCCACAAATTACATAGGGGGGTCCCAGTGAAGGGGAATGTTGTGCATATAGCCCCACCTGCACGTCAGCAGGGCAGGACCTCCGAGACGTGGGGACTGGTGACTCGCAGCCAGGCAGTGGGCAGGAAACACTAGGCACAGCCTCCCGACCTGTCCCTCGCCCCCCCCCATCACCACCCTTACTTGCTTTATTCAGCAACTATTTTTTTAAATACTTATTTATTTGAAAGTCAAAGTTACAGAGAGAAGGAGAGGCAGAGAGAGAGAGAGGTCTTCCATCTGCTGGTTCACTCTCCAATTGTCTGTAATGGACGGAGCTGCACTGATCCAAAGTGAGGAGCCAGGAGCCTCTTCCTGGTCTCCTACGTGGGTGCAGGGGCCCAGGTCTTGGACCATCTTCCACTGCTTTCCCAGGCCATAGCAGAGAGCTGGATCGGAAGAGGAGCAGCTGGGACTCAAACTGGTGCCCACATGGGATGCTGGCACTGCAGGGCAGCGGCTTTACCCACTATGCCATAATGCCAGTCCCAACTGTTTATTAAGCTCTGCTCCATCACTGTACCAGAGGCTTGGGGGCTATCACAAGAAGCAGATCCTCCCATTCTTCAGCCCCATTCAGACCCTCCAGAGCTATGAACCAGGGCATATACTACATAAAACACACTCCCTATAAGCTAGAAAGAATGCTGACTTTGTGGCTGGCATTGTGACACAGCAAGCTGAGTTGCCACTTGCAACACTGGCATACCATATCAGAGCACCAGTCCTCACCCCAGCTACTCTGCTCACTGCTAGTGCACCTAGGAAGGCAGCACATGATGGTTTAAGTGCTTGGGCCCCTGCCACCCACACAGGAGACCCGTATGGAGTTCTGGCTCCTGGCTTCAGCCTGGCCCAGGCCTGGCTGTTGCAGCCATTTGCCCCTCTCCTTACCCCCGCCTTCAAAATAAATCTTCAAAAAAGTACCTCCCACTGATTCACTCCCTAAAGACCTGCAATGTCCAGGGACTGGCCCAGGGCTAGAGTCAGAAGCCAGGAACTCAATCCAGGTCTCTACATGAATGGCAGGAATCCAGCTACTTGTACCCTCACCGCTGCTTCCTGGGGTCTGCATCAGCAGGAAGCTGGAGCCAGGAGCCAGAGCCAGACTCCAGAGCCAGGCCCTCTGATGTGGGATACCTGCTTGGCCATAGGTAGTTTCAACATGTTTAACTTGGGCAGTTGAAACAGGGAGAGGCGACCAGCCCTGCTGTTCTGCCTATTACTCAAATTATTCCCAAAACAAGGGCTGAATATCTGGTTTCTCCCTGTGAACCACAGGTCGGCTGCTCTGAATCTGTCTTACTGGGCGTAAGGTTTCTGAAGCTCCATCATGTCACAGGCACACAGCGCCAGCCAGTGCAGGGGAAAAACAAGTTTGGCGCCTTTCCTGATCCCTCCCACAGCCCTCTGAATGCATCCCCATTTCTCCCAGCCCAGGCAGCCTTGTAGTCCCCATATCACCCCCATGCTCTCTCCTTTCCCCCACCCAAGCCTGTTCTTGGGGATCCTCACCCCCAACAACCCCTGGCATGGGCAGACTTTAGAAAACATGGCTCCTGGGCCGGCGCTGTGGCTCACTTGGTTAATCCTCCGCCTATGGTGCCGGCATCCCATACGGGCACAGGGTCCTAGTCCTGGTTGCTCCTCTTCCAGTCCAGCTCTCCACTGTGGCCCGGGAGTGCAGTGGAGGATGGCCCAGGTGCTTGGGTCCCTGCACCCGCATGGGAGACCAGGAAGAAGCACCTGGCTTCTGGCTTCAGATCGGCACAACACTGGCCGTAGTGGCTATTTGGGGAGTGAACCAACGGAAGGAAGACTTTTCTCTCTTTCTCTCACTGTCTATAACTCTACCTGTCAAAATAAAAAAGAAAACACAGCTGCTGAAGGCCGATCACTCTACCCTGCCCCATCCCCACCGCACCCCCGCCCTGACAATCCTCCCTCCCCTGAAAGGCTCCTCCAGAATCGGAGGCCTTCTCCAAGGTTCCGCCTGTGGCCCAGGACCCGCGCTAGGCAAGGAGGCACCGGAATGAATAGGTCTATTCTCTGGAGAATTCGTGTGTATGGGAGAGAGCCACAGCAAACCACAGGTGTACAGGGTGACCTGGGTGGAGGAATTGCAGCACAGGGGCAGACATTGTAGCACAGCATCCAATATCCAAGCACTTAGGATCAAGTCCTGCCTCCACTTCCCATCCAGATTCCTACTCATGCCCACAGCGAGAGGTAGCAGATCATGGCCCAAGTATTCCCATGTGGGAGACCCAGATGTAGTTCCTGGCTTCAGCCTGGCCCAACCTCAGCTGTTGGGGGCATCTGGGGAGTAAACCAGTGACTGGAAGACGTGTGTGTGTATGTGTATGTGTCTGTCTGTCTGTCTGTCTTTTCCCCCATCTCTGTCACTCTGCCTTTCGAAGGAAGGGAGGGAGGGAAGGAGGGAGTGAGAGAGGGATTGCAGAGCCACTGACACTGCTGGAGGGAAGGGGGTCGAGCATGGGTTGGCTGGGAGCCTATCCCACTCTAGGAAACCTTATCTGCAGGGATTCCTCACCTAGGGTCTCTTCCTGAAACCCTGTGTCACCCACTGGACTCCTTGTCTAGAATGGAAACCCTGCCTGTCCTTCCCTGGGGCACAGGCTACCCACTGCACCTGTCTTGCCAGGCACCCCTGGCCGTGGAAACCTCACGTAGCTCCAGAGCCCTGTCTGAGCCAGCGACCCCTACATGTTCCATAACTGGCCCCACCCTTGCTTCCCACCCTTTCTCTTGTGCCCCAGGCTTAGTGTGTCCCCAGACCCTCCCCCAGCTGTGGCCCCAGGGCTGACACGTTCTCCCTCCTTGACCCTGGGCCCCATCATCCCGCCTGGCTCGGCTCTCCTGTTTCCCGCATTTACCCAGCCTCTCCTGCTTCTCTTTTAAAGCATTCTTTTAGAACACTCCTTGATCTGGACTCCAGATTGGCCTTGCCCATTAATAAATGAGTGAGGTTCGACTTACAAATCTCCCATTCATTCATTCCTTAGATTTCCCCTGGGCGCCTGCTAGGCCTGGCCCCTGTGCAGGGGCTCAGAGAGCCAGAGAGAGAGAGAAGGGCAAGAACCTGGCCCCAGGGTGCTACAGAGAGACTGTCGGGGTGTGGCTGAGGCTCCAGCAGGCACATGTGGAAGAGACAACAGCAGGAGCAGGAGCTGCTGTGGCTGGGAGTGGGAGGCAGAATCTGCAGTGATAAGAAGGGAGATAGGGAGACAAGACAGGCAGGCATTCCAGACAGGAGCCGGTGCGCATGCACCTAGGAACAGGGGCCAGGAATGCACCCATGCAGTGCCCTGAAGCAGAGTGTTGAAAAGCAAGGCTGCAATAGGGAGGAGTTCAGAGCCTGGGTTGCTGATATGCAAGGGAGAGAGCCACACGGGGCTTGCATTTCGGAAAGCTCCTTCTATAGGCGTTCGGAGAGGGTAAGACAGAGGGAAATTTGGTAAAAACCAATGCAATTCCCCAAGTGCCATTTCCACCATGAGCCAGGCTTTGCCACCTCCCACTGCCAGAGGCCATTTCTGTTCTGAAAGGAACAAAGGAGGGAAACTCTTGGTTGCAAGGAGTGGGTGCCTTGGCATGCAGCAAGCCCTGTGTGGTACTCCCACTGTGCTGCGTCGTGTTTTCCTCCGCCCGATGCCCGCCCTTCCACTCCTGACTGAGCAGAGAAGTTGGCAGATAAAGGAGCATGACTCGCTTCATAATCCCACTCCACAGATCTGCCAGCTGAGGCAGACGGTGGGCCTGGCTGGCTCGAATTCATTTCCCACTGCTGCTCTAACAGACGACCACAATTAGAGTGGCTGAAAACACATTCATCATCTGGCAATTCTAGAGGCCCAAGGTCTGAAATGGGATTCCCTAGACTTTTCTTTTTTCTTTTGACGCCTTCCCTCCCTAGACCGGGGCGTCTGCAGGGCTGTGTCCCTTTTGGGGGCTGTAGGAGAAAAGTCCATGCCCTTGCCTTGTCCAGCGTCTGGAAGCTGCCTGCATCCCTTGGCTCACGGCTCTTCCTCCATCTTCAAAGCCAGCAGCACGGCACATTCCCATCCTCTCTCTGCCTCTGGTCCTCCTGCCTCCCCCAGTAAGGAGCTCTGTAGTGACACGGCTCCCACCGGTGTGATCCAGGATCGTTGCTCCACCCCAAGCATCTGCAGTGTCCCTTGCTGTGTAAGGTGACATCCTTACAGCTCCCAGAGGCGAGGAGGGGGGCGTCTTTGGGGACCTCCACCTGTGCAGCACGTGGCCTTTGAACATCCCTCTGTGCTCTCCAAGCCCAGGGCTCCGTGCACGTCTGTGCAGCTGACCCTCAGCTCTGTCCCCACTGTGTGTGGCTGACCCCCGGCTCTGTCCCCCATGTGTGACTGACCCCCAGCTCTGTCCCCCCGTGTGTGGCTGACCCCCGGCTCTGTCCCCACTGTGTTCTTTCAGAGGAGACGACGTTTGAAGCAGGAGTGAAAGTTCAGATCCACAGTCAGTCTGAGCCGCCTTTCATCCAAGAGCTGGGCTTCGGGGTGGCTCCAGGGTTCCAGACCTTCGTGGCCACACAGGAGCAGAGGGTAAGTGTGCTGGGCTCAGCCTACCCCGACCACCTGCAGAGATACGAGGAGGAAAAAATGAGATCCCCTTTGCTGGCAGGCTCTGAATCCTCCTGGGAGGCTGGGATGGAGCTGGGCTCAGAGAAAGAGGATGGGTAACCTCCTGTACCACCTTTGTTTCTGAAAACTGGCTGGGAGGGAAAAACCAGCTCATTTTCTTCTTCACTGAATTGGTTGAAGATTTTTTTTTTTTATTTCGAGAACATTCTGTCACAGTAGACTTTCTATGCATGTTGATGAAATAACTTTGTGTTTCATGCCAGTGGATGCTAAGGGAAACTGCTAAGCAGGGTTTAACGGCTTCATTGCTTGTGTTACTGTGATCCGAAGGAGCCTAGAGAAGAAGGGGGATGACAGCATGGCGCCCAGCCACAGAGTTTAAGTGGCCTGAACCCGCATGCACGGGCGCCTGCCTGCTCTCTCTGAGGTCACCCTGGAGATGGGCACGACCATGAAGCCAGGACTGCCACATCCATGCTGCTGGCTGGTGGTGGAGGCGGAGTGGCACCACATCGTGTCTGAAGTGGGTTTCCCATCTTGAGAGGGAGACCTGTGCAAGCTCTGAGTAGACGGGAGGTCTCAAGGCAAGACTGCCGAGAGGCATGCCCGCTGTCTCTTGCCCTTATCTCCAGCTGTTCGTGTCTGGTTGGCCTCGAGTTAAAGCCAGAGAGACCAGGACCCTGTGAAGAGTCCTAAGCCAGGCCGTGGAAGACAGTTGCTGTGGGAGGCTTCGGGCAGTAAATCAGGCGCCAGCACCAGGGTGTGAGCTGGGAAGTCAGGAACTGTGACAGCGCAGTTGGGAACCATGTACATGTGGAAGGTGGGGGCTCAGCTGGGCTTTCACGTTTGGCTCAAACACCATCGTACACCTTGTACTGATCACAGATGTTTGTTCAGGTTGCAAAATGACATTCCACATTCAAAGCTGTTTATGGACGTGTAAGTGAACTATCCTTGTATTTGTTAACCCCTGGGAGAGCACTGACAGTGTAGGCTTCCCTGACTGTGCCCTGTTCACAATGCCTGGGCAGTTGGCAATGGCCAAGCTCAGCTTCTGCTACAGCATGCAAGAGAAAGTTAGCCTGGCCTGGACCAGATATTGGGGCAGGTGATGGACGCACAAGTGGGGTGCCTTGGGAACCAAATGGTACAACCAGAAAATGTGTCCTTGAGAAAAAAGAAAGAAGAGGCACAAGGCAGGTTGGGAGTCAGGAAGAATGGGAATGTGGATTACCCAGTTAAAGGCACACAGATGGCCAGGCACACTAGGTGAGCCTGGAGCCCAAGCTATCAGCTTAGTTGGGTTATCAAAGGCAAGCAATGCTGGACAGCAGTTGAAGTGCTAAGGGCAGATTCCTATCAGCAACAGACTGCTGTGGCGGGAAGGGGGCTGGCAGGGACTTGAGCGAAGTCAGGGAAATGGAGATCACTCAAAAAAATCAGAACAGCGTTCTGTGTTTGCTAGCTGGTGCTCATGGAAGTCTGGCTCCTGTACTCACACAGAGACTGGGAGACAGGGTCAAGCTTCATGGTTTGTTCACACACGTCTTCATAGGCAAAGCCAAGGACTCATCAAGAGGAGGGCTCGGGGGAGTCCAGCTGGAGTGTGGTCCAGGAGAGTCATTGCCAGCCTCCCTTCAAAGGGCCATGCAGGGGTTAGACTGCTAACTTGGGAGATGAATTCTTTGACTAGGTTAGCTACCCAAGGCAAATCTGACTCTGCGGTGTGCTGAATGTCCCTACTACCATGCTCATGAGTGACTCCCTTGTGTTGATAGCTCCCTGGTGCCTACATTGCTGTTACTGAGCAGAGTAAGGGCAAAACATTCTTTGAAGCCCAAAGTGTGACTTCCTCCCTGTCCGGCCAGTGGAGGTTGGAAAAGAGGTGGTGCTCCCTGGGCCAATACTTTTCAGCAGCCTGAGCAATGTGGTTATTCCTCCCCCAAGCTCTACCCACCCCCTACAAGTGATAGGGAAAGAATTTTTGGACCGGGTGAGAATTGGCAGTGACGGCTTCTAAGAAGCCTGAAGCCTCTCTCTGGACAATATGAAGAGAGGGGCTCCCCGTGGTGAGTAGGATGAGGAGACAGAAGTATTAGCTTCACAGGGCAAATTCATTGTTTGCTTTGAAGTGTGTTCTCAGAAAATCAGCCCCATTCATACCAGTCCTCCTATGATTATTATGACTAATAAGATATTTGTTAAACATTTTACAGTCTTCAAAGCATTTCCGCATCATCTCACTTCATCATTTCATTCATATTAATAGAGAAATACAAAAACACATCCCAGAGCTAAACCTAATAATACATTATGTTTACATGTATATAAAAGAGCACATTCATAGGAAATAAGACTTGACAGGAATAAGCCAAAATACCCACTGTGGGGGGAATTATGAATGATTTATCTTTTTCTGAGCTTTCCATATCTTTTATAGCAAAGCTGTGTTTTGCTTATTCACACAGCACTTATTTGTTGAGGACCTACTGTGAGTGAAGCCACGGGAACAAGGTAATGAGCAAAACAGACCCAGTCGCTGTCCCCCACAGAGTCTATAGACTACCAATTTCTATAACAGAAAAGAACGTGAAGTCACATATAATTTGGAGGTTGACACCCATTTGTATGTTCTCATTCTGCTCTTGTGCTAATCTACCCAGTGACCATGGTCCTCAATCACTGTTTTTCATTGGTTGTAAGAAGCAGTTATTTTTTTCACATTTTCACATCTGAAATCAGGACTTGTTTTACAGTCAATCACATCTTACAATTACGATGGAGAGTGGTTTTCTTTCTTGGTGGTGCATTAAATCACAGTGCCTCCCATAGCCTGGGGCACATCCATGAAATAAGCGCCGTGTCACTCTCAGTCCAAGATTCTGCTGTCTCAGCTCAAAACTCAAGGAAAGCTTGCAAGAAGGCCAAGGGTGAGAGACACTGGGGAGCAGGAAGCCCTCTCCTGGAAGGCTGGCACGACTCATGCTAGGAAACTCGACTCTGCAGCCAGGGCCCTAACAGGAGTGGGGACTTGGGGAATTGTGCCGTGAATGGGAACGTTCTTTACATGGTAAAATCATGCCACCCATGCATCACACACACACACACACACACACACACACACTTCTGTTTATTTTCTTTTATTCTATAATCTAGAAGAACACACACAGGCTGTCACCCAGGGCAGACATCGCAGTGTTTTAAATCGGCATTTGCCCTAAACCCAATTAGGCCAAGGTGCATCCCTGCCTTCCTGGATAACCTGAAAAATGCCCCTTATGCAGCCAGCTCACAGGTGCTACAGAAGCCCCTGCAGAGTCCCAGGGCCACCACCCCAAGACTGGCAGTGTGATCACATGCTGAGAGCAGAACTGGAACCCTACAGGGGTAGAAGAATAACAACAGTTGCTAATAACTGAGTGCTTGCTACCTGCCAATCACTAGGCAGCAGAGACACCTTGACGTACACTGTCTCATTTGATTCCTCACAACAGCCTTGCAAGGGAGGTATAGCTAGCTCTACTTTCCAGATGACAGAACTTCATGGCTAAGTAACTTCTTCAAGGTCCCATCGCTAAGGGAGCAGAAGGGCTGAGCTTTGTGCCTAAATCTGTCAGGGTCCCAAGCCCATGTTCTTTCTGCTGCACCGCACTGCATCGTTGGAACTCAGGCAAAGCCTCTGGGGAGATGATGCTGGGAGCTAATCCAAGGAGGGATTGGCTGGTGAGTACTTTCTTACCCCAAAGAAACAAGTCTGCCCATCCTGTGGAGAACAAACCAGCCCAACGGCCTGGATTCTAGTTCTGATTTTGCCATGGGACTTTTGATAGGTTGTGCCTGCCTTGGGCCTTGGTTTTCCCATCTGTAGAATAGGATTTGATTCAATAACAGGGGAGTCCATGCCTGCGTTCTCTCATGGACACAGGGATCATCTGAAAGTTTGGCCAGCAGTGGTTTTGCACCCACTTGCTGCTCTCACTGCTGTTGGTTCCCACCTTCATGCCTGCTCTGGGAGGCTGGCCCCGGGCCCCAGTTGTAAGGAGCCTTAGATAGATAGCAGCCTTGGAGTTCTCAAAGAGAATCTCTGGCTACTTTCCTTGGTAGTGCCTCTTCCTCAGCCCACATAGTGGCCACATCTTACCCAAATTGAAACCTTTCCGTCCCAGGGCTTCCTGTAATGTGCACAAATCCAAACCCGTTAGGGTGGTTCCCAAGGCCCCATGCAGCTTGGTCCCTGGCCACCTTCAAGCCTCGGCATCTGCCCGTGGTTGACCATGTACCGGGCACTCCAGGCCCTGACGCCTGCCTCTGTGCCGCTGCAGCCACTGTCCCTCTGCCCACTGTACCTTCCTTGTCTCAGCTATCTGACAAAGACCTATTCATACCTCCAGGACACTGCTCAGTGGTCATGCCTCTAGGGAACACCTTGCTTGTCCCTTCCTGTCACCCTCCAAGGAGCAGTCAGTTGTTCCACACAACACATTGTGCCTTCATTTATTCCTTCTTTCGGCAAACAATCATTGAGTACCGGATATGCTGGGAAAGTGTACAAAAGCAAGGCCTGACCCTGACTGTGGAGACTCACAGAATCAAGGGGGTTTGGGCACTTTTTGTCACACCCTAGGAGATGTGAAACTCCCCGTGGGCCACTGCTCCTGACACACACCTCGCAAGGACGGCCCTCCTTCACCTCCATCAGCCTTGTCTCACCCTTCCTGGGGACAAGGATTGTGTCTTTTAGATTCTACACCCTGGTGCCTTGCTTATACATGCGCTCGCTAGATGTACATTGTTGAAAGAATGAGTGGACATTGGCTGGCACCGCGGCTCACTAGGCTAATCCTCCACCTTGCGGCACTGGCACACCGGGTTCTAGTCCTGGTTGGGGCGCCGGATTCTGTCCCGGTTGCCCCTCTTCCAGGCCAGCTCTCTGCTGTGTCCAGGGAGTGCAGTGGAGGATG